ATATGAACGTATAAAAAAAAATAATACTAATATTGTAAATCTTGTCGTGTTGCCTTCGCTTGAAATTTGACTTTTAAGATAAGTGAGGATTATGGAGTTACCGCAGACACAAGGGAGGGTACAGATTTGTTATACGCAGTTGGTTAGTAAATATTAATATCCCTATTTTGTCATTGAAATTTTTAGGATAGAAATGACTAAATTCAGTACAAGTGGTCCGTGTTCGAGCCTAGGAAAAAGCAGTAGGATTTTGAATGTCGATTTAAAGTAGTCACTTTAGACCAGTGTTTCTCAACTGGTGTTCCTCGGAACGTTAGGGTTTTACAAAATGTCGCTAGAGGTTCCGCGAGAAACTGATAAATAGGCTAATGCATTTTTAAGTGATTTTTGTTTAATTTTATATTGTTAATTTTACTATACACTTACGACAGATTGTTCGAAAGTCCTTGGTTAGTATAATAAATCATAATAATATTGATTGTTTTAATTTTTTTGTGTATTTACAGATTTTTTGTGTGTGGAATCTTTGATGTGATATCTCATTAACGAGCAATAGGATTTTTCTTTTGCAATGCTAATGGATTTGACAAAAAAGGGGGTCATTTTTTTTCCTTCAACTAGTTTTCAGAAAAAAAAAAATATTATGTTTACCACGTGAACTATGATAAAAAAGATAGGTAGATATTACTAATGGTATATAATAATTTTTATGTAGGAATTCGTTGGGACATGAATACTATTTCCAGAATTCCACGGGGGTAATCACACCGAGAAATACTGCTCTAGTGCAACAAAGAAGTTGTGGAGATCCATGAACACCCACGTCTTGATAGGACATGGCATGAAGGTACAATCTATTTGAAAGTCCGATGGAACACAATCTTTCCTTATTTGAACAGATACCAAACTAAGCAAATTTTAGTAAATATAAAATGCGACTCTCTCTCTCTCTCTCCCTCTTTCTCTCTCACACACAAACACGCAAACACACACGAAGACAAATACACACAAAGGCGCATATACACCAAGAGATACTGCAGTCAAAATTAAAAGAAAATGAAAGAAAACGGAAAATTAGAAAAATAAAAAGGATCTCACCTGGGAGCCGATAAAACTATAGAAAACGTTATAATATAATATGTGACTCGACTGTGACTTCCAAATCATTAAATCGATTAATTAGACATACACAAAGAAGACTTGAAACTGTCTAAACTATGAGGATATTGAGGAAGGGTCTTGGCATTCGAAGAGAATAACTGTCACAGTAATATCCAACAGACATCTAATGTAATCATGGAAATTCATGAGCTATAATAACTATCGGGTGACAGCAAGAATCCTTAAATAGATTTTGCGTCGTTTGGTAACAGAGATTAATTGCTTATTGAAAAGAAAGTTTAAGGGGTGTCCATAGTAGTTTTCAAATGTAGTTACAAGGAACTTAAGCTAGTAACAAATAAGATTGCTTACGGTCAAATCACACTGAAACACCGGTTCTCGTACGATCCCCGAAGTTAAGCAGCGTAGAGCCAGGTCAGTACTTAGATGGGGGACCGCTTGGGAACACCTGGTACTGTAAGCCACCAAAGTCCAACCCTTACCTCACAGTCGGTGGAGGGGGTGTAAACGGTAATGTCAGAGCTATGCCGCCCGGAACTTCGTTCCTGGTAGGGCCACCCAAGGCGGACAGGTCTGACACACACGCCGGCTAAACAAGGGCTCTGGTGAAAATCCAAGGAGCGTCTGCATCGGTAACCGGCGGCTTCTGGTCGTTCCTGTCTCTGCGTCTGTGGGAACCCCGCGGCAAGCAAGAACGTTATCCGAGTAGGCCTGGGTACCCTACTTCTGTAATTTATCCCAAGAATCTTCTTCTCATAACAGGAAGAAGCCGGCTCAATCCGCCCAGGGTGAATGCCGCATCAGTACAGTAAATAAAATTCATACTAAACAGCGTGGTGGTTTTGGTAGGTATGGAGGTTTTAATGACAGACAACAACTTTTCTATCGGATTTATATCTGGATTGGCTATTAGGTTTTATTGGCAAAGTAAGTAATAACAGCTTTACCAAATGCAAATAAACAGTGTCCTGTATGAATATATGCTTTATTTGAGTTCTTGATAGTTACGTGCACCAATCTAAAACAACTTATTCAACTCTTAACGCTCCTTACTTAAATTATTTGCGTTCATTATACAAAGTGGATACAAAAACACAGAAGGAAAGCGAGAAAAAAGGACTATAAATTAATTTAAAAAAAAAGTCTGATTGTTAGCAAAAGCGACAGCCTAACATGTAAATTACAAATTGGAGATATCAAAACCAAACAAGTAAAACGTTTTCAATATCTGGGAAGAGTTTCAACAGAGAACGGAAAGTTTGGCACTGAAATCCGAGTAAAGTATTAAGAAACAGGAAAATTTCGTTAGAAACTAAGAAAATAGTACTGGAGAGTTATGTAATATCAGTTTCACTAAACTGTTATGTTATATCAGTCTTCCTGAATTGCTATCTAATATCAGTCTTCCTGAACAGTTATGTAATATCTGCCTTCCTGAACTGTTATCTAATATCAGTTTTCCATAACAGTTATATGATATCAGTCTTCCTGAACTGTTATCTAATATCTGCCTTCCTGAACAGTTATGTAATATCAGTCTTCCTGAACAGTTATCTAATATTAGTCTTCCTGAATAGTTATGTAATATCAGTCTTTCTGAACTGTTATGTAGTATCAGTCTTCTTATATGTTAGTAAATGTTGGACAATCTCCTCACAGATGAAGCAATAAAAATGTGTCTCTACATAAGGATACTGAGAAAAACACGGACCGAACATGCAAACAATGACGGGGTTTTGGAGAAATTCATTAGGGCATATATGAGGAAAGAGGGCTTGGTAAATTTGATATTCACATGACAGATTGAAGGCAAGAGGGACAGAGGGAAACAACACATAACCTACCTAGCGACTTTGAGTAAATGGATGGCAGAACAAGTTTTATGAGAGATAACAAAAAGACAAAATTTATTGAGATCAACAGGGGACTGGAAATTGTGGAGAGACATGATCGCCAATGTCCTGTAGGGACACGGCACATAGAAAAAAGTATGTTTTCATAGTAAAATTAGTACTCATCAACCGATGTTCATAAAATCTTTACGATATGCTCATACAATATGAATTTCAACTTATAATATCCATCCTTATTAAAATATTTTTCTATCATTTTCTTTCATATTATGAAATTGTCGAAATATAAACTGAAATAGGAAATATCTATAGACGCAAGAGACATATTTCAGTAACGCCATATTCCACAGAGTTGTGCGAAGCATTATTTAATTATTTCACGTGTTAATATGCACTTCTATGGCAATTCACTAGTCTTTCAGTCGTTGAGTTTGTTGACGGCACTGTTTTGATTTTAACATTACTTGCCTGCGGGGACAATTAGGGATGTTCCATTAGACTGTGCTCGGCCACGTCCTGAATGGACACGGCACATAGAGGAAGACGATTCAAAGTGGATGGCTGCATCATCGTAATCAGAACAGCATCTTCCATCATCTATGCTAATGTTTTCTGGTCATCTAGATTTTTGGATATTTACTCATAGCCATTTTACAAACATCTGCAAAACTATACTTTTACTAACATGGAGCAATGGTGGCGCTGATAACATTAGTATCAGTCTAGTACTAAATTTAGCTTGGTATGGAACAAAATCCAATTGGAAGAAATTTACTGAGTTAGCTTAGAAAGTGTTATTGAATGAGGAATAACCAAAACGGACGTTGGAAATGAAAATGGTAATCATTATGCCGTCAACAAAATACAATACTCGCCAGCGGCTTGAAGTAGGTAAACCACTGCTAGTGGTGGACTACTTAGACATCATATTGCCCCCACTTACAATAGTGTCCAACATATTTATGAGGATTGGGGCATTAGTGTTCATAGGTACGGTATATACCACTTAGTTTGACATAAGGTCACAGACAGAGCATCCAGTGCGTACGAATTAGATTTCGTCTAGGGCGTATGTGCGTGTAGCAACATTTACTTTAAAAAGATTTATATGTACGAATTGTGGCAAATGTGTTCTTGAAACAATGAAAAGAAAACAAAAAAAAAAAAAAAGAAAAATTAAATTATAGATAGATAGATAGATAGATAGATAGATAGATAGATAGTGAAAGTGAGAAGGATGAGGTTGGAGTAAGAAGATGAAAAAAAGAAAGAAGAAAAACAGTGAAAAATAAAAGATATGAAAGTAAAACAGAGTGTGTAAAAAAATGAAAGGGGAGAACTGAAAGCAAAAGAAAAAAGGAAAGAAATGAATTACGAGAAAAAGAAAGAAAGAAAGAAAGAAAGAAAGAAAGAAAAGGAAACGCCAAGATAGAAAATAAAGAAATGGATGAAAGGGGGAGGTAAGAAGCGAATCAAAAAGAAAGAGAGAAAAAAGGAATGGAATAAAGGAATAAAAAAGAAAAAGAAGCCAAATAGAAAAAAAGAAAGATAAAAGGAAAGAAGTGAAGTAAAAAGAATGTAAAAAGAAATTAAAGGGAAGAACATGAAGAAAAAGAAAATAAATTAATTAAAGTAGCAGAAAGAAAGAAGGAAAGCATAAATAAAAAGGAAAAAGAGAAATTAAAAAAGGAAAGAGCGAAAAAATGAAAAAAAAAAAGAGTAAAATTGAAACAAAAATGAAAGAAGAAAAATAAAAAAGAGGAGAATAAAAAGAAAAAAAAAACGAAGAAGGAAATAAAGAAATGAATATAGCAGAAAGAAAGAAGGAAGGAGAGAAAAAGGAAAATCAAAGAATGAAAGAATGAAAAAGAAAGAAGCAAAAAAGACAGTAAAAAGAAATGAAAGAGAACAACAAAAAGAAAGAAGGAAATAAAGAAATAAATGAAAAAGAAAGAAAGAAGGAAAGTAAAAAAGAAAAAAGAGAAAAAGAAAAGTAAAAAATGAAAGAGAAAAAAAAAGGAAAAGTTAGGAATGAAAAGAAAGGTAAAAACAAAATAGAAAAGAAACGAAAAACGAAGAAGGGAAGTAAAAAGAGTTTAAAACGAAATTAGATAATGGAAGAAAAGGAAAAACGAAATAAAGAAGTAAAGAATAATAAAAAGAAAAAGAAAAAAAGAAAATAAAAAAGAAATGAAGCAAGAATGACAACATTGTCAATCCGAAATGAAGACAGAAATTAACAAGAAACAAAGACGCCAAAAAAATAACAAAAAAAAAAAAATACAAAACAAAAACAAAAAAGAAACGAAGGAAAAAAAGAAAAGAAAAAGAATGAAAATATTGAATAAAAAAAAAGAATAAAAAAAAAAATATTGATAAGCAAAATAAGAATAAGACGCTGTCCAGAGAATAAGTCTGTTAAATTCAACCTAAAGCGAAAAAGTCTAGGCAAGAGCAGAGGTTAGAACGAGGCTGGGGGAGGGGGGGGCGACGTAGAAAGACAGAAGGGGACGTAATATCTCTGTTTTGTGTTTCGCACATTCGCTCGGAGAGAAGTGACTGGTTAAGAATAAACAGATAATGGTGATAAACACCTGTGTATTATCAACCTCCCTTCACTCCCACCCCATCTCGCCCGTTTTGTTTGCTTGCGTAATATAACAGGCACGAAAGGAGAGAGGGGGGTGGGGGGAAGATATCGAAAATGGGATGAAGGTAAACGGGAAAGCCAACTCCCTGTCGGAGACTGGTGGGTCGAGGCTTGTTCTGCTTTCACTCAAAACCCCGTCGGTCATTGCATATTGTGTTGCGTTTGATAAAAGACAAAAACCATGAATCAGTCAAGGAATGGGTAAAGTCAGGGAAAGGCGGCCAAGAGATGCCTAGTAGAGGACGCATTGGTAAGCAATCTTGTGTACACCCGCATGCACAGAAAGCCGTGTGAGTCTGTGTGCGTGAGTGTGATTGTGTTTTGCAAATGCAACATACGTGTGCACACACAAATATGCAAAAGACTGATAGAGGCCTGTTTGTTAGCGGAAGTAGCTGCGTATTTCTATTGGCGGACATGTCTGAAGTTCAGGCCCAGATTTGAAAAAATTTAAAAATTTAAAATACTGATTGTTGTAGCAGGTAGACACCTTTCAGCTGGACAATTGGCCTTGTGTCATGCTAAACAAAGCTTATGCAATGGGAAGCAGAGATAAATGTTATCTTGTCACACACACACACACACACACACACACACACACATATATATATATATATATATATATATATATATATGAAACACGGCTATAATTTATTACATTGGAATCGTAATCACGATCCAATCCTTTTATATTATATTCTTGCTCTGTCTTGTACATTGAGCTCTACCTGGATTTTATCTTGGAAGTATATATATATATTGAGCACTAGTATTATCAATATATATATATATATATATAAAAGAAATATGTTGTAGTGGTTCCAACGAGAGAAAAGTATGTATATTAAAAAGAAGAGAAGAGAGGTGCCGCAAACGTTTTTGGTTGTAATGTGGATTTATTTAGAAAAAATATTATGCTTTGTTTTACATAATTTTACGACACGTGTTTCTGGTCTCGCGACCGTCTTCAGGTAAAAGTGGAGATTTCCACATATTATTAAAAATAATTAATTTTTCCTTATGTTCAATGTTAAATATTCTCGATATGAGACATTCTATGTTTGTGTGTTGGTAATCCGAATTTCTTTCTATGTCTGATTGAATAAATTACAAACATTATGTCTGCTTATTTTTATTATAATCCTTTCATACTCACGAATATTTTTCTGTATATTACAATGAAATAAAGCAAGAAATACACTGTAACAGTGAGAATAAACTTTATTTCCAAAGTACTTTCCAACTCTTTCTGATATCATCATCAAGGGTGCACCTGGTAAGACAAAAGCTATGTGTCGCTATCATCATCATCATCATCATCATCAAAACTGTTTCGATTTGAGGTCTTGAATTAACATGTTCTCTCATCTTCAGTGACATTGTATATTGATTCGACGATATTTTGCCAGCCTTCTCTGTCCTTTGCTAGTTTCCGGATTTGCTGTAGATCTTCCTTGATTATAAACTTCTCTAATCCGTTTCTGAGATTTGATTTTGAGATTAACTCCTTTTGTTTGATGACATTCGTATGTTTTTTTTCTTGAACAGTGAGCTGTATTCCAACATCGATGTACATTATTCCACCATTTACTGTTGACAACAAATCCGTTTCCATAATGTATGCATTCTGTCTCTAAACCTATCAACTAGTGTTTGTTTTTGCCGATGTTACTGTTCATACCAGGACTAATTTTTGTCTCTTGTAAGCAACAGACGTCCATTTTATACGTTTCTATGTCCAACGCTAACTGCTCTTGCTTCTAGGTCAAACTACGTACCTTGAAAGTTCCAAATCAAAAGATCATGACGTTGGAAGTTTAAAAGAATTTTCCGAATATTGTCTTTCTCAGTATGTAACGTCTTAAATACGTAGCCATTACCTACTTCGCTAATTAGCTATCCATTACTATTTTTTTTCTTTTGCATTTAAATGCTGTAACTGACAGTTATGCTGTGGCGTTCATTAGTACGTAAAAAGTTATCCGTTATGCAATTTTTTTCTTTTATGTTGGAATGTCATGGTCGACCGCACATTAAAGCGTGAAAAGTGTTCTTTTTTATAGGCATTTTAGAGCATTATTACAGTATTCATAGCGGATTCTATTCAGTGTCGGCTTCAATTTTTTTTAATGAAAATTGCTTCGAGGATCTGTGGTTTAAACTCATTTTAGTTAGAACTCATTTAAACACACGCACAAACCTACCAGGCTCCATCCGAAACATACTAGTAGAAAATACAAGCGTAAAAACCCCATCCCCATGTAAAATAATAGATTAAAAGTAATGCAAGCCTTTATATAAAAGGAAAAGCCAAAACTCATTAATATTACTACGAACACGGACACAATGTGCTGACGGTGTTCGGAAAATAAAACATCTCTATAACTTTAGATACATAAACAAAAGCCATACATTCAGTTAAAAAGTAAAAATAAAATCATCCTCGAAAATAGCTAAAAGTATAACCAAAAGCGCTCGGAATTAGAGAATATTTGGACAGTTTCTACGCACTCTTTGTCCAGAAAAGAAAGCACTTGTTCGAACACAAGAAAAATTAAATACAAGTCTTAATTGCAGTATCTTGTCTGTCGCCTTTATTGAAACATGTATAAAAGAGTAATTGATGCCTAAATACAATATATATATATATATATATATATATATATATATGAAAATTTCTCCGATTTAACTAGTAGAGAAGACAATATTTATGAATAAAAATGACAATAGGAAAACTGGTAATTGCTGACGTGTTTCGTCCAATGTGGACTTTATCAAAGCAAAATACGAAATGAAATTCATTGAACAAGGTAACTAATAAAAACAAAAAACAGAATGTTCCTAGCAACTGGAATGTAGAGAAACGTTATTTTCAGATTGTTAACTGATTTGTCACGTGTGGAGAATATTGTCATTATATCTGTGTTGATGTATTCAACCATTTTCTTTTGATTTTATGAATCTGTTGTGTATATTTGCTTGTGAGAGCACTAATTTTATTAAGAAAGGTGAAAGGTGGAAGGTGGAAGCGTTTCTCTACGAAACGCGTCAGCAATTACTAGTTTTTCCATTGTCATTTTTATTCACATATATATATAAATAATTATTTTATTCATATATATATATATATAAATAATTATACATATATATATATATATATATATGTATATATATATAATTATTTATTTATTTAAAAATTATAACATAAATATGTTATAAAATCACTACAAAATAGCCATTTTGTTTCAACACCTCTGGTGTCTTATCAAGTGATGATGAATGTTGAAACAAAATAGCTCTACTCTGTATTGAGCACTTGTTTAATGGAATTTATTCCGTATACACCAATCATATACATATATATACAATCATATATATATAATTTATTCGAAAATTATAACATAAATATATTATAAAATCACAACAAAAATAGCCATTTTGTTTCAACACTTCTGGTGATGGTGTTGAATAATATAATATATATATATATATATATATATATATATATATATATATATATATATATTCTAAAATGTGATATATTTATGGTAAATAAGAAATAGATATTGGTGATAAAGTTTCGGTACTTCTTTTGGTATACAGACGACATCGGGGGTGTCGCTAGAGGAATTAATGTTCGTCAGGAAAATTAAAATGGTGTTTGACAAATCACTAACTGAAAGAAAAATAAAAAAGTTGGCAGAGTACGGAATTGACTATAAAATCTTTCAAAGCTGGAGATCAGGTTTTCTTCGAGATTTCCAAAGCAGGGAAGGAAAGTTGGGAAGATGGTGAAATAGTAAATCGCATGGGCAGGATGATGTATATGATAGAAGGTTGAAATTGGCAACATAAAAGTCATTTTAAACCAATTAAAATCAAGATATACCAAGGAAATAAAAAGCGAACAAAGAGGTTTATCTATGGAAGGGATGTATAGTACTTTTGACTTGCAACTCCAATTATTAATACTCAAACATATCGCATTAGTAAAAGAAAAAGACATCCAATGGGAGTGTTAGAAGTGAACCCTAAAAGAAGAAAATACGTATTCAAAAGAGAATGTACATCTTAAAAAGGGAGGTGTTGTGTAGAAAAAAGAACGGCCTACACTAAATTGTAGAATATAGACTCTTACATTCACTATGAGAGGAGCGTTAGCTCATAGGAAAGGAGTCAAAAAGTGGGTCGCAGAGAACAATGAAATAACTGAATTCAGCTATATATATATATATATATATATATATATATATATATATATATATATATATATATATATATTGTGTGTATTTATCATCACTGTCTTGTCCGTATATTGCTTAATATATTGTACAGTAATTGACATCTTTGATAATGGCTTATGTAAGCCGAAAGCTTAGATTGGATTAAAAAATATGGATCAATATTGTGATTTTCTTCCTTCGATTAATGATAATGTTATTAAGCTTATCAGACGTTATGAAAAGAATTTACATAAAATAAATAGACAACACTTGTCTATATTATTTAATGAAACGTATGAATATATATATATATATATATATATATATATATATATATATATATATATATATGCGTGTTTATGATCAAATCGAACTCATAAATAATTGCATCGGTCACACTACTACATGGCTATCCAGACGCCTTACGTTACACCTATCTGACCACAGCTCTTTTAGAATCCATTTAAACATACACACAAACTTACCAGACTCCATTCGAAACATATTAGTAGAAAATACAAACATCATAGCCCCATCCACATATAAAAAACGTTAAAAATAATAGAAGCATTAATAATAAAAATGAAAAAGCCAACACTTAATAATATTAACTACGAACACGGCCACAATGTACTAACTGTGTTCGCAAAATAAAACATCTCTATAACACTAAAAAAATGAACACAACCCATACGCCCAATTAAATTGAAAAAATAAAGTCATCCTTGATAATGGCTAAAAATATCACCGAATTATAGAACATTTGGACAGTTTTACACACACTGCTTTCAAAAAAGAAAACACTTGTTCGAACGTAAGAAAAATTATATAAAAAGCTTAAACAGAGTCACTTGACTGTTGTTTTTAATTAGACACGCATAAATTAAGGATTGCTGCCTAAATACACTATACATATATATAT